GTTTTATTTTTTATTGTTCATATTGACCTTTCATTCCATAGACGGGGACAACCAAAAACCTACTTTTCATAAAGTGTAGTCCTTATTTTTGAAAACAATACCTACTTCTCTCCCACTCCTCCTCTTCGGCTTTTATGGCTTAAAAATGCAAAACTATTACATATAAAAAATATGTTAACAATTAATAAAAGTAACTTACATGCTCAGGTTCATGAAACACTGAAGTTTAAAAGTTACACAATAAGCCATGATATTTCAAATGGTTTTTCTTATGACGATATGCTTTGGCAACAAATTGACCAATACATTTTATTAATTTTTAATAATGTATTTATTTTAGTTTTACCTTTTAAACATTTAAACAGATAATTTTTTCACGTTGTTTACTAATTTTGTATTATTGAATTTTAATTTTTATTAAATATATATATTTTTTATAATATTTTTATTAAAGGTTACAGTATTGAGTATTTATCTTATTTTTATATTTTTGTATGTTAATACTTCTATTATTTTCTAAATTAATATACAAATTCTCTAACCACAGTTATTATTTTCTTTTTCTATTATTTTTACTTTTTCAAAATAAACTTTGTGGTTAGTCTCATCAATACGTTTTGACAAACCTGTACAATCTTCTTTATTAATTATATTTTTTTGTGTTGGTTTAATCGATTTTTTAACAATTGTACAGTTTTTCCAACCTACGTTTTTTTTATATGAACGTAACATTCTACACTACATTGCTTTTAAGAAGGTTGTCTATATTTTCCTTTATAGGTGGAAGAATAGAATTAATTTTGCTTTTAAAATATATGTAAAAAATAAATTTTTCCATTAAGTTTTCTTTTCTCATTAATCTTTATAATTCCTTCGTTCAGTCCCTCTATGTCTACCTATATATTTTTATTATTACTTTTTTATTATTAAATTTATTATTGTAAAAATTACTTTTTCTTTTTTTATTAACTGTAAAATTTTTTATCAGGATAATTATTGTGTTTAAGTAATTCAACTATTTTATTTTTTTTAAATGTGGTACATTATGTCACTTCTATTAAGCATTTTTTGTATCGTATCTGTTATATTTAATTTTTGATGGATTGGATTTGATGAAAAATACTTAAATACTCCAGCCGAACATTTATATATTTTTTAAATAAATATAAGTTAATCTATTTATGTAAGTTCACTATTTTTCGTGGTCCGCTTGACCAATTAATAACATTCAATTAATTAAGGTTTTAAGTTGAGATAAAAAAGTCAGTGTCACGAGCGGGATTCGAACCCACGATCTTCGGCTAGATACACCGTTACTCTACCACTTGAGCTATCGTGACTTCGATCCCCTCGGGCACTAACTTCCCATCTCAACCCCACCTTTTGAATTTTCCCTCCTTTTTGCCATTTTTCAAATGTGTAATCGGATTGGATTCTCGGCGACAAATGAAATGGCCACGGAGAGCTTTAGTGAAGTGTACTTCATTCTAATCAATTAAATTCACTATTTTTCATGGTACGCAGTTGAGATAAAAAAGTCAGTGTCACGAGCGGGATTCGAACCCACGACCTTCGGCTAAGTATAATGGATAAATATTATTATTAAAGGTGTCACCATTTCTATTAATTTTTATATCTAAAATAGGTAAAGGTCTATTTTGTTCTATTTCCGCAGTCAATTTTATATCTTTATGTAATTTTGTACATTCTTGCATTAACTGGGTAACATCAACTTTATGTATTGAAAGAATTGTTTTTTACAAAATCTATTCTTATTCTTGAACTTTTTTTATAATTTATTGAAAATTTCATTATTGGACATGTCTGCAATAATGGGAAATAAGCATCCTCCCATATGTAACCCTTTTATCTGCTTATACTACTTTACTGACTACTTTTTATGAAGAGTATGATTTTGGTTGTCCCCGTCGGTAGAATAGAGTCAAGATAAAAAATCAAAATAGGTTATAATAAATTTTTTTCCATCAAGGTACAGAAAAGTCAAAAAAGATATACCTCTATTTACGTATGCGGATGACTTACTTATTTCAGTCTACTGTTGGAGGGACGTACACATTAAGGTGAAATTATTACCCAACTCTAAAGAAAACTGTGAAAAACTGAGTCCAAATCAATATTTTTAAACATTCATTTGCTGTGAATTAATTGGAAATCTTCCCACCAGAAACTTAACGAAACAGGAATTTATGTTATTCTTACATCTTAAACCTGAAAAGTTTGTTTTATACAAAATTATACACGCCGATGGAGCCGGCGAGTTGTAAGGGTTTAATTATACTTCGTTAATTTACAAATTTCTCTTGAGGTACCTACTGAAAACTTTTAAGATAATCACATTCTTTCAATATGAGATCAAGGTCTAAAACATGAAGTCATTAATCTCGATTGGGTGGGTAATGGCCCTGTAAACTTTTCTAATATCGGTTCACTTGCTAATAACGTTGTACTAACTCATTCCTTTCAAGACTTTAAAGGAAATGTCTTCTATACCGCATCAATTTCAATTAACATTGTAAATATCCTTAACATTATCAATCATATACATAGCAAAAAATAACTAATGAATGGCATACAGTCAATATTTGTATTCACTTGGAAACGTAACATAATAACATAAAATCTGATGTTGAATTCAATTTTTTGTTGTTAGAAAATTCTACTGTCATAGGTGATTAATTTTTAGTAAAAACATACATGACCTAAATTAATTTAGGTACATGACTGTGATAATCGAATTTACTTCAAAATTGAACCTTTACTTATAAATTTGAAAATGTTATGCTATCTGAACGAATATGCACCTTGTACAAAAATATAGAGAAAATAAAAACTAAAGGTTAAAAAGAACTTCAAACAAATTATTTATATAATATTGTACTTCTTATCACCCTCCATATTAAGATGGAATAAACCCTTTCGTCATCATATGCCTCGAGTGCTCTTCCGAGAGGACAGCTTACCCTCGGCTAGGCTGCTGGATTCTTTGACAAACCGAGACCGTTTATGTGTACGATCCTATGTAAAGACGAACGAGCGACTACGAATGCGGACGCGACTATGGGGAATACACTTCTCCAAAGCTATAACAATCGGTTTAGTAAAGTAGTTTTAGTAAAGTATACTTCATTTATACTTATTAAATCACTAGTTTCGTGGTCCACTTGACGAATTAATTAAGGTTTTTAGTTGAGACAATAAAGTCCGTGTCATGAGCGTCATTGAAAGATGTCAATTGGTCAAGTGGACCACGAAACTAGTGAATTTAATAAGTTTAAATGAAGTATACCTTCATTAAAGCTTTCCGTGGCCAGTTCATTTGTCGCCGAGAATTAAATAGATTACACGACATTTGAAAAATGGCAAAAATGAGGGAAAATTCAAAAGGTGGGGTTGAGATGGGCTGTTAGTGTCCGAGTGGGTCGAGGTCACGATAGCTCAAGTGGGAGAGCAGGGGCGGATCTAGCCGAAGATCGTGCGTTCGAATCCCGCTCGTGACACTGACTTTTTTATCTCAACTAAAAACATTAATTAACTGAAAGATATTAATTGGTCAAGCGGATCACGAAACTAGTGAATTTAATTGTGCGCACAGTTCAACAAAAGTTTGTAAAGACATAGAAAGAAGTGTAAAATAAAAAAAAACCTTCTATTCCAAATGGATCTGAATGATGGAACAGGTTTATAATTCTCCTGAGAACAGTGCAACTGGAGAATATTTGCATGTTGTTTGTTGAAGTTGACGAATTAGGGAGGCAAACTAAACAAATTTCCCTCTTTTCCTTTTTCCGCCAAGCTTTCTATACAGAGAATTCACTTTTTTTTAAGCAACAAAAGGATTCTGCGCACCACCCAAAATTTCATTCTTTTTAAAAGATAGAGATAACAAATGTTGTTATAATTCAAACGTCCGGAAGTCTTATTTTTTATATTTCTACTTTGGTGTTTACAGGAAATTGTTCACCTCAGCAAAAAAATATCACTTGATTAAATAAGAAGGGTGGAAAATAGAATCTAATTGTATATCCAATTTAAATTGATATAAACAAAACAATTACAAAACGAGCAATATTAATTAAACATTAAATGTGTTTAGCGGCTATAATAGATAAATAAAAATAATAATTAATTGAAATAATTAAATTAAATAATTAATGGTGAAGTTAATAGTGTGTCAATATTGACATGCACGTATAACATACATTTAAGCGAAATTCCATTAACTAAAGCATGCAATCCAGATTCAGTTTAGATATACATTCAGCGGGATAATGGTCTTATGTGTATATAATGTATACAATATTATTCGATTTAATAAAAATATGGAAAATACACTTATAGTCAAGAGAATAAAAGAGTAGAAAAAAGACGTAATCAGACCAAAACAGGGAGGGAATTAAAAAAATACAAACTATGCTAATAAACATTTAATTAAAAAATTATACCGGAGAAGTATTGTTTTGGAATTCAAATAGGCCTTATTTTGCAAATAAAAGGCAGAATGGGCCATTAATTAACTCCAAAACAATTTATCACGCTGTGGGAAGGAATAAGATGGAAAGTTTTGACTTCTCTGAAAGGGCATTTGAAAGGGGGCTTAGGAATAACTTGCTAGAACAATAGAATATCAAGAACTATTTTCCATACGCAAAGAAGCTTAACATTCTTTTATAGTCAACTAAGCAGCTCATTTTTTTAAAAAAGCGACATAAAAAACGCAATAGGTTCATTAAAAATAGTTTATAATTAATTAGTTCCACCTCTCATTTTTGTTATTTATAGTTCAAACCAAAACTTCGCAGTTTTGTAACGCAATTGCATGATTGTTTTTGTAAACATAATAGATTTCTTCAGTTTTTGATGTAAAGCTGAATGCAACGATAAAACCACGTCGTATTTCTTCATATCTCGTCAGTCAAAGGGTGTAAAATGCTATTAACTGCGGATTCGGTAAAAGGCACAATGTTAACAATATGATATACCTGCTGCTATCACTGTCATGATGCCTGCAGGAACACCGAGCGCCAAATTGGTTAGCTTTCCTTTCTCCTCTATGGCAGCCACCGCGCCCATGACTAATATCGATATACCGCAGACGATCTGAAAATTTTTCAACATGATTATTCGAAAATAAAACGACGCTAAATTACATTTTCGCTTCTTACTTTGTCGTATTTTTCAGAAATGTTTATGCAGTGACAATACTATACAGATGAAACCACAAACATTTTCAAAAAATCCTAGCAATGTAATACCTTTTTATAAAGATTAGAAAACTTGGTTATTCATATCCTTCTCTGGATAAATTATACAATAAATACACAATACAAAATAAATGGATTTTTATTAAATACCCTAGTTCGGGTCGAGAAGGGAAAGGGACATATTTACGAAAGTACAGAAAAGAGGCATGAAAAATGACCATCAGGTGTTTGACGACCCATACCTAACTAGTACAATCAAAGACAAATAAAACCGGACACTCGTATTATGTTGTTTATTTCAAACTATATGTATTTTTGTCGTTATATTAATTAACAACTGATTGTAATGTAAACAAAATTAAACGCGATCGAAATTCATGAGTTTTAATATTTTTTTACTAAAATTTATTGTTTCATCAAAGAAAACAATTTAAAAAAAAACAAAAAAAAACAATTAACACATTTGACAGTTGGCTCTGGTAAAGATGAAATTGAACTTATTTTCTTTATTTTTAATCTAAAGTGTGTAAAAGGATTAGTTTCTATAATGGTAAACCACCAGTTAATAATGTTCAAACTAAACGTAAGTATTTTTATTGTTATATTAATTAGACGATACTTATTTTAATATAAACCGGACTAATGAGTTCTGAAATTCATGAGTTTTAGTAAAAAATTATTTAATTATGCTGGCTTAAAAGAAAATTCACCAAAACTCCGTTAAAGTTTTTAGTTACTGTTTAAATTTTAGCGTATCCTATGGCCCTGCGGAGGGTCTTAAGTTTCCTAAGCATCGAGTAAATAAGCAGTCGGATTTCGTCTTGTGAAATAGAATCTCATTCTTCAATAAAAGCCGTATGAAGCTGTTCAAAGCTTGTTGGAAGCGGCGAACCCGTCTCTTTATCATATCCTCGTCCTCGAGGATTCATGTTAAGAGAAATTAATGGAAAATTCATCGTGGTCGTTCTCGTAGTGCTGGGTGACGCGAACTACATGCGGTAGAGGATTATCATGATTGACAAAACGTTGTCTCCAATAAATCGATTGAATCGGACTACAGCATCGAGTAGAACATCCTCAATGTACGTTAGTGCAAAGGTCCATCCTGTATGGTAATCATTTCGGAACGGCCATCGATGTTGATTCCACCCCACACCATAACTGACTGTGTTTGAAAAGGCTCAAGCATGGCACATGAAGCCAAGAGTCCTCCACATCTTCCCCACACACGAGGTCATATGACTGCCACAAACAAAACCGGCACGCGCCTGTGAAGAAGCATTCCTCTTATTCAGGAGTAGTAGCCTTTCTACTTCATGCTTCTCCAATAGTAAAGACGCTATGTCCGTAGTCGGGCAATGAATCTCCACTTGTGAGACTTTCTTGACTTAAAACCATCTTTAAAAAATATTTTTTTACTCAAATGTATTGTTTTAACAAAGTAAACAACTTGAAAAACAATTAACTCACTCGACCAGTTTGCTCTAGAAAGGGTTAAATTGAACTGATTATTGATTGAACTGAAGGTAAACAACGAGTTATTGATGTTGGGTTTACGTTTTAAGTCAATTATTTATCTTTACAAGTATTTATTATGGAAAATAAACAACAAGTGTCCAGTTGTTGTCTTTGAGTAATAATAATATTTATATATAATTTAATATATAATAATATACTACTATTAACTATACCTGTTTGACTTTCAATATTGATTATTGAATCAAACTTTTTGCAATAAATATAATAATATATAATAATAATGCTGTTAATGATAATTTAAGTCAAATAATAAAATTATTTCCATCTGTTGAATATTCAATAACGGCACAGGAGCCGAAGTTTGTAATATAATAGTGCACTAGAAAGGGGCTATTTAAAGCTGATTAAATGGACAAAGAGAGTTCGATAAGAGCCCGTATCGGCCTTATTGTGGCATCTCGCAGTCTGTGAGAAGAACTGATTTTTTATTCTAACATGGAAAAAGAAGCGCACAAGTAAAAACTGAATAAGACAATAACTTAGTTTAGAGTTTTCAAACTGGAAAGTCAAAGTTTTAAGAATAAAAATTAGTTTGGAGACAACTGAAATAGCTAAGGAGTTGAGTGTGTACGTTTTGCTTGGTAGTCAAGATAATAGAGTTACCGAAGATTTGTCCAAAAAGCTCCAAAATAGTCTTGTTGTTGTTTATTTTTGTGTGTTGTCTCGTTGTGCTTGTCTTTATCTTCTTTTGTGTTGAGAAAATTCTTTATAAAAGAAAAAATCGGGTTTTTACCAATTAACAAAAGTGTTTCAGAGATGACAAGATGTACGATTAAAACATCATCAGGCCTTGTGTAAGATGACAATTAAATGAATTTAGACTGTAATGTTTTAGCCTGAATGTGAAAGAAAAGAACGATAAACGAGTTTTCCTTCTTCTATCAATTTCATAGGGCTGGACGTGGAAAAAAATCAACAATATGTCTACTCTCTGAAAATTGGGGTTTATTAAATTCACGATTTTTCGTAGTCCGCTTGACCAATTGGGTTTATCTTCTTTTGGGTTTAGAAGAACGTTGCAAAATGAAAAAAAAAAAGGTTTTCTTACAAATTTATAAAAGTGTTTCAAAGAGGACAACTCTACGATTGAGAACATCGTCTGGCGTTGTACAAGACGCAATTAATTTTTTTTAAATTTAAACAGTAACGCTTTAGCCTGAGCGTCTAAGAAAAAAACGATACACGTTTTATCTTTTCTTCTTGTTCTTCTAATTTCGTAGGTCTGGGCGTGCAAAAACTCAGCAATTAATAGAATTTAGGCTTAAACGTTTTAGCCAGATTATAAAAAAAAACGATAAACGAGTTTCCCTTCTTCTCTCAATTTCATAGGACTGGATGTGGAAAAATCTAGGAAAAAAATATCAATAATATGTCCTGTCTGAAAATTGGGGTTTATCTTCTTTTGGGTTTCGAAGAACGTTGCAAAACGAAAAAAAAGGTTTTCTTACAAATTTATAAAAGTGTTTCAGAGAGGGCAACTGTACGATTGAGAACATCGTGTGGCGTTGTACAAAACGCAATGTTTTTAAAATTTAAACAGTAACGCTTTAGCCTGAACGTCTAAGAAAAAAACGATACACGTATTATCTTTTCTTTTTGTTCTTCTAATTTCGTAGGTCTGGGTGTGCAAAAAACTCAGCAATTAATAGAATTTAGGCTTAAACGTTTTAGCCAGATTATAAAAAAAAAACGATAAACGAGTTTTCCTTCTTCTCTCAATTTCATAGGACTGGATGTGGAAAACTCTAGGAAAAAATATCAATAATATGTCCTGTCTGAAAATTGGGATTTATCTTCTTTTGGGTTTAGAAGAACGTTGCAAAACGAAAAAAAAAAAGGTTTTCTTACAAATTTATAAAAGTGTTTCAAAGAGGACAAACTCTGCGATTGAGAACAACGTCTGGCATTGCACAAGACGGAAAATTTTTTAAATTTAAATTGTAACGTTTTAGCCTGAACGTCAAAGAAAAAACTATAAACGTTTTATCTTTGCTTCTAATTTCGTAGGTCTGGGTGTGGAAAAAACTCAGCAATTAAAAGAATTTAGACTGCAACGTTTTGCCTGAATGTAAAAGAAAACAACGATAAACGAGTTATCGTTTTTCCTTTCTTCTCTCAACTTTATAGGACGTGGAAAATGTAGAAAAAAATATCAACAATATGTCTGAAAATCCGGGTTTAACTTCTTTTGAGTTTAGAGGATTTGTTCTAAATTGAAAAAAAATCAGGTTTTTTCAAAGTTACAAAAGTGTTTCAATGTTGAATGTGTCGTATTTGTCTGGAAGTAAAAGAAAAGACAATAAATGCGTTTTTCCTCTTTTTTCTTTTAAGTGTACGTAATATGGATCTAGGAGTGATCAAATGTAGAAAGTTTTCAAAAATATTATTTAAATCCCTAGTTAGTATAAAAATGTAACTTAAATTAGTCAAGTGTACACTGATAACCTAAATTAGTATAATAATAATAATATTTTAGTCGACTGTTACTAGCTTTAAAAAATGGGCAATTTCGAAATTCTGAGAATGTGCGTACATTGTTTTTTTATCCCATACAGTAGAGACAAGATACGTTAAATGGTTAGTTTTAAGTTCGAAGGCTATTCTTATAAGTTAGTCAGTGAAGTGCTTGCCTGAATGTCAAGAAAATGGAGAAGGAAGTACGCGTTTCTTGGGTTTTTCTTTCAATTGCATTTTACGGTGTTAGCGTAGAAAAAGTAGACAGATGTCTCAAAAATATAAATATGTACTAATGTTTGGTATTCCGAAAGCGACAATTCTAATGTAGACTTTTTTCTTTCAAATGTGCGTTTAATAGGTTCGGGAGTGGAAAATGTAGACAAAAGTCTCAGAATATACGTTCTATATAAAAAAAAAATCACGGCTTTACAAATTTACAAATTTATTGACAAGGTGGCTTAATGTTGATTGAAAATATCGCCTGGCATTTAAAAAAACGCCCATTTTTTTTAACCTGGTTTCAATTTAGTACGATCTGGCAGTATTAGTGAAAAAGGCGACTTTTTCTTAACCTTGACTTATATATCCAAAACGACCAAGGGTAGAAATTTACATAAGTTAAGACTTTCCCGGGCATTTGCGTTAGACTCTTTTACATTGTTAATATGAGCACAACAGACTCAGGAAGAACATCGCCTAAGATATACTGTAGGCAATAGGACATTGGCAATATGTGGCATTGTGAATATTGGCAAATATTAACCGACAATATTTCCATCTGTATAGAAAAAAACCTAATGAGAAAAATACGGGTTTTTTTGTTTTACCATTTTAAGAATGCAATGGAGCTAGACGAAACTTAATTACACGTTACTAAAACCGTTCAACTCTCTATTACTG